TTAAATCCAAAGACAGCGTGAATTTCCACGTTTGCCAGCTGGCCTTCTCCTTTCTTTCTCTGTCTGAAAAGCCAAGGCATAGGGAGCGCGAAAAATGTAAATTGAAAATGCAAAATGCTCATATGCAATTTGTTTGGTAGCGGAGCTGAGAGCGAGTCGGTTTCGGCCTTTTTTACAGTTTGCCGGGCATAAAAATCCAGGACGGTCTACATTGTTGTCAGTTTGTAGCTTGGCTACAATCGCTTGCTTTACGACCACGCCCACATACACACACACACACATGGCGGCAGGGCCAAAGGCATTTGGCATTTTATGCGAAATGTTTTCGCAGGAAGGGAACCGTCGGGATTCGGCATTATAGTTGTATGAGGTCCCAGCTTCTCTACCGCCTTTTCTACCAATTCCAACTTCAACTACAAATTCCCTCCATTCCACTGGCTGCCTTGGCTTTAAAATTAAGTTTACATTTTTAATGTGGCGAAAGAGGAGCTGCGTCAGAGTTTTATGTTTGCCAACTTTAATGGTCATGACTTTTGGCAAGTTGATGAGAAATAGCACAAATATTGAGAGATTAAAAAGGGAGTATGTGCAAATAAACTAAAAGTTAAATGATATGTGTAAATTATTGTGGGTATAAATTGTGTCAGTAAAGTAAAGAAAATAAATGACAGTTTACATATGTATATCCTTAATAAACCAGATTTTATTATTTTACTATAAATTTGTGAAACAAAATGTGTAATAAACAGTAAAGAATATTATGATTAATTATTTAAACCTAGGTATATATTTCTGTTTAGTTTTTTATGTGGTTCAGCCATTTCCAAATTATATATTTCTCATACTCCCCATAGTCGCCACAACCAGGGTTAGAGCTCCTCGACCTTTCCCTGGGTCTCCCGTCTGACTTGATTGAGCTGCGTTGGCCAAATCACGTTGCAATTGCCACAGACGAAGCTGAATGGCAAACGAGAGGAGGAACGAGACTCATTAGACCGAAGCGTGATGCGTGACACCAACTTTAAATTGTGGGAAGACAAGCGGCAGGACCTCATCCGTGTCCCTATCCGCCCCGCGTACTTCGGCCACCAGCCATTTCCCATTTCCCCCACATTGCAGCGTAATCTTGGCCATTATTCAAAAAGTAGCTTCGCACGTAGACTGCGACTGAAAAAAAACGACCAGCGGAGAAATGGCAACTAACGAAAAGCGGCGAACACTGGAAAATTGTAGTACAAAATGTATAATATTTTAAAAATTAATTAGATTACATCTACGTACAATACTTAATATAAATTCCGTGAACTTTTAAGAATACTATGAAAGATGAAGTTTTTAGAAGATTAAAATTAGAAGTACATTGATTACTAAAAAAATACATTAGAATTACTTTAAAAATATTTACAGTGAGTTCTCATCCATTTAAGACTTTTAAATTATTTTTTTCAAATTTAAAATTATACAATTATTCTTAAATTCGTTCAGTATTATATTCCGGGTGTATCCTGCTCTGCGGGTGACATTCGTATTCTGTTTGTGTTTGTGTTGCCGTTTTTCCCGGCAGCTCCAGCATCCCCTCCCAGCTTTGCCTGCCCCTCGGCCTGAAGCCTCTGTCATTGCCACCGTTTCTCAGCTTTCTCTGCCTTTGAAATCAGAATCCACTGGAACTGCCTGTGCCTCCGTTAATGGCTTTGTTATGCTAATTTCTTGACGCCTTCTGGCCATCGGAGTCGCCTGTTGGCCCTCGGTGGCTTTTGATGCTGTTTCTTATTAATTTAATTATAAATATTATTTTTTGTCCTGCTGTTTTTCTGCTCAACATTGTAACAATTTTAGGAAAATTAAAAACAATCTCTGCCTTCACATTGGCAACATAATAGTACGATAATTTCCGAGCTGAGAGTGTTTATTAGGTTTTGTTTGTTCAGGGAAGGAATACACAGGTTTCTTAATATTACCTCACGCATTTTTTAAAAGCCTTTTAGTAGAAAGAACTATATTGAAGCTGAAACTACATGATTTCTATATTTTCCGTTTTTTTTTTACTGCCCAAAAGTCGTTTACTTACAGTTGTTCGACATAATGCCATCGATTTCATTGGGTTTCTCCATTTTCCTGCACGTGGTGCCTTCCCAAAAAAGTGAAACTCTGTCATCTGGTGAATGGGTCTTAGCTGGAAAGCCCTTTCATAAGCGTCGCATAAATTCTTTGTCAATTGTGGCAAATTTTTAGCCAGCCAGATTGTCAGTCGTCCCTCTCGCAATGCCTTGTGTAGTTTTCCTGCTTTCTCGTTCTGAGTCCTTTCCCTCTAATTGTGTCATGTGTGTGCGGATGCGAAGTCCTGAAGCTGTAACTAGAATTTGATTGTGCGAGCCAGGAGAGTGCATTGATTGGATTAGCCTGCTGGCCATGTGGTTGGTCATAAATGAAATGAACCTGAAGACTAGTAGATGAAATGGCAAACTGAAAGTTGTGACACATTGCGGTAACTGGGGATACTTTAACAATAGCAATGGGATTCTTTTAAAAGGGAAGGGAGTAATTCTTCTGGTTAAGTAAATTTATTGTTATTGTGCCTTAAAGTATACAACTTTAATTTCTTTTAATTTTTATTCTCCAAAACTTCGATCAAACATTCAATCAAAGTTAGTAAGTTCCCAGGGAAGTTGCCGATTTAAGGGGATATTTTTCAGTATTGCGACGTCTCTATCAAGTGGTTTTATATTTTTTAGATTTCGTATTCATTCTCTTGGAGCTTCCCCTCAATGTTTCTCCTTTGAAGCTTCTTCCATTGTTTTTTATCCAGCTTTCTTCGTTGGCCTGTTTGCTGGCATGTGGCTTAGGAATGGCTTACAAGCTGCTTCCTTGTTTTTTCCTGGCTCTCCTCGTGACCCTGCAACCGATTATCTTGCAAATTTCCCTTCTCCCCAGCTACTTTCTTATTTCTGCATATAATCCTTCCAGCTCACAGTCGCCTCATTCATGATTTCCAGCTGGTTGTAATGTCATTCTTAAGCTCAAACAAACAGGAAGTGCATACGCATTGAATTAACAGTGAGATACTCGAATTTTGTGAACGCCTGTCGGAAAATCCAGTTGAGTTTTATAATTAAAATTCCTCGAGTCCGGAATAATCCCCTTTGCACATAGATGCAGTCCGTGTAGAATTTAAATGGCGTTTTTGCTGAGCAAGTGTGTGGGCTGAAACTGAAACTTTAGACATAAAAGCCAGACCCCTTGAAATTCTTTTTTCCCTGTCCACCCCTTGAGGCTTTATTGTTGCTGCTCGGCTAAAACCGTGCAGACATTTGGACGCAACTACTTGAAGTTTTATGCCCCGTTTCTGCCTCTTTTTTCCATTCTTTTCCCTGCCACATGGGAGGACTTTATGGCTCATACGTGTGGGCTCCTCTCGGAGCATATTGAAAACCCAGCATTGTTATGACTTTGAAACAAACCGAGGGCGAAAGCATCCTTTCTCCTTAGCCCTCAACTTAATGGCAGGTGCAGGCAAAAAATGGGCGGCTGAAAAAGAAAGCGAGAAAAAAGAAAACTGTTATCGGTCTGCGTGCTCAAAAGCGCACTTGATTGCTCAAATCCTTTGTGTATCCCCTTTTAAGCCTTTTGTTTTCCATTATGCGCCGGAAGTGTTGTAAACACTTCAGCGCAGGACACGGGACGGCAGCCAAAGCCACAATAACAGTAACCCGAGAAAGACCAAAAGGGCAAGGAAATTCCAAGTCCAAGACAGCGTCTCAAGCGGCGACGGGACTTCCTTACGATTCTTTTTTCTACACAACAAAATATTTTCTTCAAGTTAAGGCTGAGGTTTTAAATATATTTTAAGAACTAACTATTTAAAAATCTTGTCGTTTCATCCAACATTCCTATATATAAATAATCTTTTAAGCAATGCCAAAACCATTTGGAATTATAACACTTACATAATATATTCCTTAAATTGAAAGACTTTACGACTGATAAGAGAGATTAGTTTCCTGAGTGTATATGTAAATGCGCCGACATTTTTAATATAAACCAAGCTGGGAGAGGACACACGGAAATAAAGCATAATAATGTGGCACGACAATCAGAAGGAAGGGAGATGGAAAACGGGGCGGGGAGATAGGGAAAGGGCGACGCGTGCCAAACGGGAAAACACTCATAACGCTTCGCTCCCTATTTTCCAGCTCCCCTTTCTTGAGAATCAGACCCTCATGGGTTTTCTCTTGTCAATATGCTTCCCGCTCGACTTGTGCTATAATTGTGACTTCCCTCCCCGGAACTATGTGTGTCAGCGAGGGTTAAGGAATGAAGATTATGCCAGCCGGGACACTTTCAGTTACTTAGCTGGGGAGCTTCTGCTGCTCGGGGACCGAAGGACTGAAGGACTGAAGGACTGGGTCTGAGAGGCTTCCTTCCTTTTTTCCTGGTCCCGTTGTTTTCAGCAACTTACAAGTGGCCAACGAAAAGTATCCCAACTGAAGCTTAAATAATTAGCTGGGGAGGCTAAGCTGGAATTGCGGAAAAATGAGAAGGCCACAGGGGAAAGCTCAAAGAGATAAAAGAGGGAAGTGGGCTGAGGGAAAAGGGAATAAATTAAAAAGGAAAGCAGGCTAAGGAATAGGCTAAATGCTCGGATATATTATTAGAATTGATATGGAATTGCACTTAAGAGTCATCGGGGAAGAGTTAATAGACTATATAAAAGAGTAGGTTTTAAGCTTAAGTTTTTGGAAAATATGCAGTGTTTAAAAATTAAGATACCTTAAAAGAAAACTCCTCTTATACCTGCTTAGTCATTCGTGCACTTCCTGATACCGAAAGACAGGCTGTCAGTTCGAATTCGCACCACTCATCTAGGTCAGCTGGCGGTCATTTCCTCCGACTCACCGCCAGCTCATTTTCCGGTTGACAGGACCGCTTTGATTCCAGCACATCACCTGACAATTTGTTGACTCAACTAATCTCCTCCTCCGCTCCATTTCCGCCCCTTTCAGATGCCCGGGATGGGGAGACGTCACAAACACTATCATCATCGGCTGTGCGGTTCATCTTCATCACTGCTGCAGCGGCTGGTGGAGTTGCAGCTCCTGCTGCCGGCGGTGCTCGTCCTGCTGCTGGCCACCACCCTCGGACTCGCCTGCCGCGTCTCCGAGTTCTCGTGCAAGGGCAGCGGGAACAGCGGCACCATTTGCGTTCCACTGGACAAATATTGCGACGGACGCAGCGATTGTGCCGATGGCAGCGATGAGCCCAAACATTGCTCCGGTGAGTAAATCCTGCCAGCTGCTGTTATCGTTTCCCCCTCCTTTTCTGCAAATAAAGTACAGTAAACAATCGTAGAAGGAGAACTAGATGAACAGTATTGTGGCGAACATTTAATGACGGTTCAATCTCTATTGAAAATTGCTTAAATATTTAATACATATTTAAAACATAATTCTTATTAGATTTTAAGACTTGAACTTTAAAAACTAATAAAATAAATATATTTTATTTGAATTATTGATGGAACAATAATAATTAATAGCTAAAAATTATTCTTGTATTAAAAATACAATTATTATTAAAACTTTCTCTAGATGCCTTTAACTTTAGTGTAACTTTTGTTCACATTGTTTTTTGCTTTTATTTATTTCCACCGACAGTCTGCAATCGCACATATTACGGCGATATTGGACGGACCTACGCCATAAAAGTGCCAACGCCACAGTGGAATAAATTGCCGTTCCTCTGTCACTTGACATTCACAGCATCCGGTCATGATCAAGGCGACATTGTCCAGGTGCGTATGGGGTTGTTATACAGGTGACACTGGGTGGGGTTGCTGGTTGTCAGAGTTGGGTACTTGTATGAATGTACCATACGATTTAAGTTAGTTTTTAGTACCATTTTTATTTTAGTTCGTAATAAATTCTAAGTATTTAACTCTTTACAAGCAAATAATATTTTAAATTAGCTTTAAAATAGCAAATAAACTTATATTCATGGTTTTAAAGTAACTTCTAGAAGAAGCTAACAAAATTGTATGTTAATTCGACAATATATGCTATGATCCATGAGATGCTTTTCTTGCAAAACCCCTGAATTAAAGTTAATTATAAAATAGAACAGGACTTATAGAGACATTTTATATTTGGAAAACAAGTACCTTAATACCAACAGAAACTTGAGTCTCAGATTGGTATTTATAGTATCCAGATGCAGAATTCCAGCCCACTATCAAGCTTTCTTTTTCATTAAAAAATACTCCTAACCCGATCAGAGATAATGCTATGGCCTTAAATTGCACAAAGTTTCAAAATAAATATAAATAAATAAATAAATGTAAGTATAAAAATATATATCATAGAGGCATTTTTAATATATAATTTTTTTTTATATAAAAAAGAGTTAACATATTGCTTATTAAGAACTATTCCATTTGTGCAAATTCTTTTTGGGTAATTTTTAATTTTTAAGATAATTTCAAAATTTAAGCTATACGTACGGGTCAACGGTTTTTGAATTTCGGAATTTTCTACGGATCCAGTGGCCATATTTAAATGCAACTAATATTCCTTTTTCCTTTCGAGTTTAGTTTTGAGTGTTTCCGTTCTCTGAGTGATGTTGGGAACCAAAAATCTTAGCATAATGCCTCTGCTTTAGATTCTAGATTTTGTCAAATTTGATCACTTTTTAATGTAACTTTTGGAAATATTTAACTATGTTAAAAACACTTTATAAATATATATAAATCTGACCACATTCTTAACTGATTCCCTACCGATATCTGTAGTATACATTTCTGCGTATACATTTTCTTTTTACCCGCCACTGCACTATGGGGTTTTTGACCAGTTTTTGTGGCATTAATTAATAACTCGATCAGTTTTGAAGATATCGACATGAAACTTTACCAATCATCATTATTTGTCCCTAGGCACATATAGTATGAAAATCGTTCGGATCAGAAATCTATATCCTATAGCTCCCATAGGAACGATCGGGTAAAAGTAAAGATAAATTAATGAAATTTAAGGAGCTTATATTTGTTGCTATTTTAACACGATATAGCAATTTTGAACAAAATCGGACAACGCTTTCCCTAGGAACCAAAATAACCATAATACCGGAAATCAGTGTTTTTCCATACAAACAGCTACCAAATTGGCTCTGAAAACAGTGAGGTTATCTGAGAAAAATTCAAATTGCAACAAAAGTGCGGAAAAGTGCACGATAAGACTAACTGCTTTTTACTCAGAATTGACAACGCTACAACATACACTTGGACGCATTGAAAACTAATGCGAACTTCTATTTCAAAACTCTTCCCAAAGTTTAAATTTGTTTCTCAAAATTCAGCTTAAGGTGCATTTATAAAATGACAAAATGTCAGTATAAACACGCACAATTTAAACAATTAATACCTTTAACATGTAGTTAAAACCTGTGAAATCAGTGTCCATTAGTTTTTTCCTTTGCAAATTGTGTCTTACACGAATAGTTTAATTTCAAAGATCACTTCGTAAAAATTACAAACTTAGCAGACGCGCTTTCGGATGCAACAGCTGACTTTACAGCTCTGTTGCTAACATATGCTGTTAAGTATTAACATTTTGAGTATGAGGCATAACAGTTCGATGTTTTGTTAATACAATCCCACTATTTTTTTTTTAATTTAAGAACTTTTAAAAAATGACTAAATGCCACATAAAGTGGTCAAAAACCCCATAGTGCACTGTGGACTGGTGGTGCTGAGTGCATGGAGTGTTTGTCCGGCTTGTGTTGTTGTCGGCTCCCCGTTGTCCGCTCGTCCCTCTGTCCGTCTGTTGGCTTTAGTGCGCCGTAGGCCAAAGATTAGCCGTGCGTCAGCGACAGAAAAGTGCAATGCACACACACACACATGCACTTGAGTGGCCGAACGGAGGGGAGGCGCTGCCGGAAGAGAGCACTCTAACGAGAACCGAGAGCCACACACACACTCGCCGGCGCGAAGAGGCATTGTCAGGAGACACGCACAAATGCACCGCCGTGAAACATTCCGAGACACATCCGCCCAGGTCTCCACCCCCTTCCAACAATAGCCAGCCCTGGATTCGTATGTACATATCGCATGAGGAGCTGTATGTGCCGGCCATTCGCACAAGGTATATGGGTTCTGTCTGGGATTGAGTCGGACAGATTTGATACCTAGGGATTAAGGGAAAAAACAAACATTCGGGAATCGAAAATAAATGCATATGAAATAAAGGTTAAGTCTGAAACAAACAGAAAACTTCTGTGAACAAGCCCATCTTTTCATTTTACAATTTTAATTTATTTGTTTATATTTTAAAGTGTTTTCTTAAGCAATAGGACATCATATTGATAAACTTTCTCACAGTCCTTGTCAAAACAAAAATTATTTTTTAAAATTGTTACCAGAATCCACCTTAGAAACAGGTCTTATTTAACATACCTCTTTAATACCTTGAATTTTAAAACCATTCTAGTTTTCACAGCAAGATCCCAAAGGTAATAAAGCAGGGTATCAAAAGATATCCCATCATTTTAGGTCTAGTTAGGTAGAATGTCTTCATTACTCGCCTCGTCGGCATATCTCGTGACATTTTTGGGGTTCCAGCATTTGGTGCGTGCTTAATTAGGACTCCCAGCGATTGCGAGTGAATCCTAGGCATCCTGTCCAGGCGCATTATTTAAGCGGAAAACTGCTCTTTAAAAAGCCCTTGGGGGCTCTGAGGGAGATGGAGGGTCTGAGGAGCAGTCGAGAAAATAAGCAAACAAATCGAGTAGCAAGGCGGTGTGCCGGAGCCGCCACCCACGTTGACAATGAAATTAGACCCGCTTCAAAACATTTTTGGCGAGCTGTCAGAGAAACGTCAATTTCAATTTCGAAAATAATTGATTTCCCTTGCAATTTGCGTAAACATCGCAATGAGCAGTTGAGTCCCAGTCCCAGGAAGTGCTAGTCAGCAAATCTGTTCCCCCTGCCACCCTGCCACCCCATTTGCTCCTTATGTATGTTCCCCCTTCAAGTCGCTAGGGTGTCTCGCACATATTTCTGAATAAGTATTTGGAATGATATATGCAAAATGTTCCTTCGTGGGCTTTGCACCTTGCACAAATCTGTCAAGCATAAGTTATAACTTTTTATTTTGTGTTTTCGCGTTTGTAGACCACTTTTTTGGCTAGAACGTGGCTACACAGGCAAAAAAGAAATTATCTTATGAATTTTTGATTAGAAAACACTTTTTTCAAGAGAAAAAATCTTCAAGTTATTAAAATATTTTGTGATTAATTTTAGTAGTACTAATTTTGTTAATAAAAAATATCAGAGACCCATTTTAAAATTTCTAATTTCTTTCTGAATAAATACCAAAGTATAAACTCTTATTTTAAATGCCTTTAGTTAGGCTTGAAATGTTGAAATCTTTAACAAAAATCGATATTATATTATTATTTGCCGTGTACATTTTTCCTTTCAACTCTTCTTAGTACCATATAAATCATGCGGTTGGCTTTCCCTTGGCTCCACCCGTTTTCCCCGCCCTCCTTTCACTTTTCCATACATACATATACATTTTTTGCTGCTCACTCTGGTGCGTCTGTATGGGAAATTGCTTGAAATAATAATGTTAGACACTGGGGAGAACGAGGCGCGGTGGTCGTGGGTAGGTGCTGCTGTCTGTTTGTACATATTGATTGATGATTGTCAGCCGGAGTCCCAGACCTTCGGAAGGGAGAAGTTTAAATTGCCTGGGACTCCGCGCCGTTTACCCAAGGGCTAATTTTTAATGGAAATACCTTAACCCAAACTCTGCAATATGTTTGCTTTAATGTAATGGCCGTTAGCGCCAGCAATTTTCGTAATTTAAGCGTGTTTTTCATATCCCCTAATGGACGGGAAAATATATACAACAAATCAACCAAAAGGAGCATTTTTTTTATCGTAAAAACAGACAGTACTTTGCATAAATCACGTTTTTTTCTTTGTCATAATTAAACAGAGTTTACCAAGCAGAATTTTAATTTTCGTAGCCCTTTGTTTTATGTATGTTTGTACTTTTTTTTGCTTAACTTCATATAAATATTTATAGATTGTTTCCTAGTTTTTTTCTATATTTCCTATTTAAAACCACTTTAATGAAATTGATAGGATACTTTTAGGCATCACTGATGGAGTTTTATTTAAAGTCTGTGACCTCTTTGATAGTTGATATTGTGTTTAAACTCTTACAAACAAATCAAGTAGGTTCTTTTGCAGTTGATGAAGAGTTTGTCACAAAAGCAAATGAAAAAAAAGAAGTCAGTATAAAAAAACTTATAGGAATGCATAAGTGCACATTCATTATTATTCTTCATTTTCCCCAGAGAGTTTTCAGGTTGAAAAGTTGGCCATTCGCTCCAGTCCACTTCTTCGTTTCTAATGAAGCCACAAATGCCATGTGCGATGTGGGAGCCCAACCACTCGTCAGTCCTCCAGTTTTTCGTCGCTGTCACTTTTGCCTTTGTTTAATATTTCAAATTGGATGTGAAAATCTCTTCGGGTGCGTGGGAGCTGGGAAATTCGGCTAAATGAAAAGCAAGTGGCTTCCAAGTGAAACCCAAAGCTGAACCCTTTTATTGGACTTTTCTTTCCAATTTTCAACACACACACATACACATTTATTTGCATATTTTATTAAGGAAAATACATGCGTACACGGGAGTACATAATGTACATATTGCATACCAGATTAGACACTTGACTTTCTGCCTCACAGCTTCCTCACTTTGACCTTGACTTGACTCTCCGTCGAGGCAATGGGAGTGTGGTATTTCCTTCTTTATGGCCAATCAAATATGCAAACAGTGGGCGGGCACAATGAGGCATGGCAAGGTCCTTTACATTTTTCGCAAATGGAATTTCATTTGCATAACTTTAGGCAAATATAAAATATAGTTTTAATACCCTGGAATAGCGGGCTAAACTGAGGTTTAAAGGATTTTGGTAAAGCTCAGAAATAATTTACTTTCGGCAGAACAATATTAAAATGTTAAGATTTTAGAAAAGAATGTCTTAAGAAGATAGGGAAGCTTACTCAAGAAAGTTGGGTATAAAAAACCTTTAAGAAGAAATCCAAAGTACTATACGAATGAAGAGCTTTCTAGTTTATTAGCAACTTATTTTTTTCCAATTTTATTATTATAAATATTATTTAAAAATGTATTCGCATAAATGATACAACACCTTTTTAAATATATCCCTTTTTATTCTTTCAGATAATCTTCGATGGCTTTACGGTCGGCAGGTTCGATGAGGGCATGGTCGATACGGACGTGGATGGTTACGAAACGAACCTCAGTCCCACGGGCGAGCTGCCGGGCTGTCCCGAGGGCTTCATGCAGGTGAGAGTGCTGGAATTCCATTTATTAAAATTCATGTTACGTGATAATAAAAATAGTTTAAGTGAAATTGTGTCGGTAGCTGGCACTCCATTTGCCTGCGTAGGGGGTTGTAATTTTATGGTCCAGAAGGAGGGGGGAGACAGTGGGCGTCCTGGCTGGGTGCTGGGTGGTAAATCCCGGCCAGGACTTTGGCTTGTCATCATTGGTAGCTTTCGTCGTCGTCGTGGTAGTCGTAGTCGTAGTCGTAGTCCTCCTCGTCGTCGTTCGATTCAATCAATGTCCGAGTAATTCTGTAATTTTCTGTTTGGTCCTCTGTTGACAAATACCACATTAGCCCGGCAAATTGAATTGAATGGTGCGCCTGTGTGCGTGTCTCTGCCAATATCTGTATCTGTGTGTGCCGTCGATCCTGGGACCGGGGCTTGAGAGCTGTTAGTGTTGTTGGGTCATATCCATTTGCTTGTCTGTGGGCCAAAAAGGAAAACTATTTAACATGTCCTGTACACTGTGCTGTGTGGTATTTATTTTTATCGCAAATTTTGCGGACACATTTAGTGAGGAATGACGATGCTGTGCTCAACCAAAATCCTGCCCAAATAAAATGTACGAAAAAGCTCACTAAATCCCTGTAATTGACTTGTCCAATATGTTCGAAAGGCTCCCTCCGTTTCGTTTGTGTATCCGCATCTGTATCTGTATCTGAATCCGCTTCTGATTCAGTTTTTGTTTCACTTTGTGAATCTGCATCTGTATCTTTATCTTGGTTTCGGGTTGGCTGGCTCAGCTTGAATCGCTTTTGATAAACTTCAGTCTGTTGTTCGTTTCCGAGGACATCTTAAGCTGTTTTAATTTGGGGCTTAGATAAAATGGAGCGCTGAAGTGCAAATGGCGAAACTATATGTACATAGTGCCGCTTAATCTTGTGTTCTAAGTAAATTTCTGCCAATGAAGTTTATTGAAATGAAAAATCTGTTGGATTTGTTGACAGAATTTGTTAAATTATTTGAAATTATGTAATTAAATGTGAGCAACAGGAAAGTACATAAAATAAACAGCAAACAATATATTTCTTGTAGCCTTAAAACAGTTAAAGACTGCACTTATAAAATTATACAATATTATTACAAACGAATTTAAAATATACCCAAATAATGTTTTCTATGTTCTATGTAATAAAATTGCTCTTAGTTTAAAAACCTACCCAATTTAACTCCTTTGAAAGCTGTAATGTAAACCCCTATGATTAGGCTTCCTATTTTCCCGGAATATTCCAACTCTGTCGCCTAATCTCTACACTTTTCCGGGAACTACAGATTCTCATTGGATCCATTTTCCCCAGCTAACTAGAGAGGGCTTTTTTCACCCGACGGCGGTCCCTTGGAAAACCATAAACCTCTATTAGTTTAGCTCCGTAGGCTCGGCAGGCCCCCCTCGCTTTTGTCCCCCGGGCTGTCCATGTATCTCCCGGTCTCTCTCTTTGTGCAACAATAAATTTTAACAAGCGTGGGGCGTGCGCCGACATTTTGCGGTGCTCGTCCCGAAAAAAACTGGGAAAAACAGGAGCTGCAATACGGGATATGGAATAGCCATCCAGTGCAGTCGCCTGCACTCCTGGGCTGTCCTGTTGAGGTTTCATTTGGCGCTTGACATGTGTACGGCGTTGAGGGATTTCCGCAAAAGTACGAGGGGGAAGGGGGGCCATGGGGCAAGCCTCTAGTTTTTATTGGCGCCACATTTTCCGAGAGAAACCTTATTCATACCCTTGCAAAGGGTATTTATGGACTTGCAGTCGATGTAATAAAAAAGAAATAATTTCCATTTGATATTCTTTTATGTGAATTAATTATAATTAGACTTAAATTCAAACAAATGTTTTTTATGCATCTTAAATATGCAAGTTTAGAGTTTTCCTTTAAATATTCGGTTAATATTTCCTACCTGGACACAATATACTTTTTATTAACTAAATTTGAATTAATTTATAAGCACCAAATAATTTTTAAAATGTCTTAGATATGCGTTACTATTAAATAAAATATTCAATTTTAGAGAAAATGTTTAAGTAAATTGAGCTACGCTTATTTTCAGTTATTTAAAATGAATATTAAGTCCAATCATTGATTTTCTGAATCTTTTTGGGTTTCTTTGCTTTTTTAATCCGATATATTCACAAATAACTACCGTCTGATTAGTTTCAAAGAGTATTACAGAATTTAATCAGACAACAAAATGCTTCTCTTCCGTTTTATTTCTGTTTTCTTTCTTGTACATTTTGTTTTTAAAACGAATTTAAATATTTTAAATTTTTTAACCCTGCCGTGCACTGTTGTTCACTTTTATCATTGCAGTTGTGTATAGACTCGTAACTAACCTCAGGTTTGTGTTGTGTTTTCCCCTTCAAAAACTCCATTTCCATCGAAGCTGGCATTTTTTCCGCCACTGAAGGCAATTTTAACTGCTGACGCGGTTTTGTAAACTCCCCCCTGGCCCCTCGATCTGTATAAATAATGCGTGTCATGGCCTGGCCACATAAATTCTTGACCGAAACGGAAAATTTATATCCGCTGCCTTCCCACATATACGCTTATATATGATTTACCCTGTTCCAGGCCAGGTTCAGGTCCAGCGCCCCTTGTCGGGCCCGAAGTTTCAGTTTAATCATTTATTCAATTTAGTTGGACATTCTGTCTCATGCATTTTGTAACAGGCCAAAAGGGGAGCAAACGGGGCTGTCCTTATCTTGACCTTTTCGGAATTATTTTTAATAATTCAGCAAACAATCTTTGGGAGCGGAGCGAGGGTCCTTAATATAGAACATTCGGAATCCTGTAACTAGCATAAGTTAAGCTTTGCATGGGTTTTATTCAAATAAAGATACTAAGACACAGAAAAGTTGATAATTCAACTAAATCACTTAAAAAATAATTCTTTTTTTTTACAAAAAAGTTAATTGTTAAGTTTAGCAGGTATTACGATAGTCCTTCAAGCCTTTGTCTACTGCCAGACCTCCTGTCGAACCTTTTCGATACTTGCTAATATTGCTTATCATAAATAATAAAGTTTATGCATAAACGTATTAACCTAAATCAACAACAGCAACAACAAAAGCAACAGCAGGGGCGGTGCAGAGGGCTGCTATCCTTGAGTGTCCTTGCTAGAGCAGCTTGGGCAAATGATTCAATATTTGACAATCATAACAGCCCCAGCCCCTCGCCTGGCTTCCTCCTTCCGAGCAAAGAAGTGAAAGCAGCTTGGACCTGCTTCAGATTGTCAATAGTTTTTATTGGACTAAATACATATACACACACATAATACGTATACATTGTCTAACAACTTTGGCTCGGTTAAGCTCATAACTCAACATTGACCACACGAAAGTTAGTGGAAATTTACGAGTTTTGCCGAGCAAAAGTCTCCCAAGTTTAGAGCTTATTTATTCGCTCGTCCCCCGTGGCTCTGTATTGCAAATTAAAAGCCGTCACGCTTAAATAATGTATGTGTAATATGCAGAATGCTTTAAATTACTATAAATCAAATAGGCAGCGGCGACAGTGGGACGGAGCTGGCATTATGCGCTTAAATTGTTTTACAATTAAGTTGAAGCGGCATCCTGACAAGCGTTGCCCTTTGTTTATTGTTGCCAGATTATGAGGCGAGAAGGATTCAGCGGATGCCAGTGCACCAGCAAATCAGATAAAACTTTTATCGCACTCAATGTGTGTACTGCATAAGAGCAATATCCCAGAGCTCCGAACAATGCCATGCAGATATTTGTAGGCGTGTCCGGAATTTATCCAAGAGTGCCATCAGGTATTTCACAGTTAAACAGCTCGGCGTTTCTTGTAATATAAAAAGAGGAACCCGCATTCATAATTTCCTATTATTTTTCCATTACAAAATGTATTTGGCCTTCCTATTCCGACTGATATGTGAGCAAATGTTTGGCCAAAAAGTCGGTCACTATTAGCCTTGGCCTAATCAAATAAATTTACTGTATAATTTTACCAGAGGGCGAGAGCGGGCCAAAAAATATCTTGCTGCAATAATAATTCAATCAATTTAAAACCAACACAAAACGAGGCAGAAAAAGCAAGAGCAGATAGGGCAACGGGCTAAAAGCAGAGAAAAAGGCACACACACAAGGACGAATATCCAATAATTCGTTATGAAGTCGATGCTAATAACGCTCCAGTGCACACAATGGACATGATGACGATGATGAAGAGGAACGACCAATGGGTTAAGATGGTGGGAAGCTGTCGAGCGGGGAAACAGGCAGATGCACACGGAAAATTTTCAATTAAATTAAAAAGGAAGTTTATAAAAGTAAAAACTATAGGTAAATATTCTCACAAGCTAGATCTAACGACAATGATGTTAATTTAAATAACTAAAAGTTCAAGCACCATAAAATCGTTTATAAATATTCAGGCAACAATTTGTTATTGTGACATTTTTTCCTGAGTGTAAGAAGAAGAGGCCTGGGTCCAGGACTCGAGCAGAGCCTGCAATGAATTTACACAAAATCGAAATCAGAAAATTACCATTATGCCGGTCAGTCAAGCCTGCCTCTGGCCATCGGCCCCTGTCTCTCTTCTACCCCTCTTCCCTTCCCACAATCCACCAGCGATCCCAACTCATCCTGGCCCTGAGCTAGAGCAGGATGGCCAATGGACTTGCCCTGGTCATTCAATATGACAGCAGCAATGGGCCGACTCGACTCCAGTGCAACTGCAACTCTAACCAGTTACAAATATTGGCCAGACCTCGATTGGCGACTTTGCAATTACAGCAAAAATTGTTGTTTGGGTTTGGGCCAGCCGCAGGACATGTCAGGGGAGAAAGGACCCACAGAAGCCCTAAGGCTGCACAGGCCTCCTCTTTGGACGTCGGTTCAGTTCAAATAACCTATTAACTAAAAACTTAATCAATTGGAACCTCAGTGTAAATGAGCTGCCGTCGCCGCTGCCACTGCCGCTGCCATTTTCCAATCCCCACATTTATCGACTGGTGGCCACTGACCCAGGCCGCAGGCTGGGAAAAAAAAAATATGGGAAACAGGACCAGGCAGTGTCCTCCGCCTGCTGGTATAGGCAATATTAATGCTGCCTATGCGACCAGGCTCAATAAATGTCAGTTGTCCTGGGGCGAAAAGAGGAGAAAGTATGGGTAGAGGATTCCTATTTAATGGGTTATGCTTCACATATAGTAAGCACGAAATTGTATAGACCTATGGAATACTGTAGGTAACTAAGGGTTACATATAAATTTCAGATTTTTATTGTAAAACTTAAATTTTCGGTCGACTTTATTTAATACTTCTTCTCTCGTTGGCACTCTCTAGGTTAGTTCGAAAAGGTTGTTTCTCTCTAAGGTAGTTGGACAAGGTTGTTCTATACGTCTTCTCTCGAGGTAGTCTCCACAGGCAGTGATCGCACCTCTACGATCATGCACGGTCGATAACAATATATTAGATCAATCTATCAATATTAGTTTAACAATTTGAAGTTTATAAGCCTTGGAATTTGACTACTAAAATTCCCACTCTCTCTTGGCTCCCCTCACTATCCCCTGTTAATAATTTAACCACTATGCAATTGGCTAGCTTTGGGGCCCCGTTTTTGGTCACAATGTAAATACATTTTGGGGACAGCACTTGCAGTGGCAATTCGCTTGGCTTGCCCGGTCGCGGTGTTGGTTCAGCTGCTACTCGCACACCTTCAACGATGGCCAGTAGTTTTTTGCATGCATAAAATACCTGCCCAAATGTATGCTGCAGTTCTTTTTGTCGAACGTGCCAAGTGCCACGTTGCGGAGGTAGGAGCAAGGAAAACAATCAAATATTGAGCGGAAAAGGTGGTAGTTAAAATAAAAAAATTACACCGCCCTGCACACGCACTCATAATCCATTAGCCCAGCGCCAGATGGCCACCCGTAACGTGCGTTTATTAATTTTGTATGCGTTTTTCACTCACCCAGTGCCAATAAAATCAATAAGAGTGTACGAACTCTATAACTTAACCCAATTTTTTAATGTGCCAGTGCGTGTGTGTGTGTGTGTGTGGCTTTGCAGGGCCGTGGAAAATTGCTTTTAGCCCTTCTGTTTGGTTGTCTGTGGGCGGGTGGTCACCAGCGAAACAAACTTGATTTTTAATTAATTAAATTTTTATTTATTTACTTGGCAGCTCAGCGAATTGGGACGCCCATTCACCGGCGGATCCTGGTGCGGCAAGGCCACGGGACCGCAATTGTACTTTAGCGAAACATCCACGGTGACAGCGTCGGTGAAGGTAAGTGCGAGTGCAAGCGACAAGGACGCATAGCAATTTGGAACTGCAAAATATTAAATTGTCAGAGGTTATTTAAAATAAAATTCCAACGAACTTACACATACCTATCTTAAGGAACGTTTAGTTTTAAAGTTGAACAAGGTTTATATTTTCATTATGTTGGATCTTTAAATTCCCCTTATAGATTTCCCTATAGATATCAGATTTTTATTTTAATTTCCTCCACTATACATCCTTTAGCTCTTTGGCTTAAAGAAAATTGAAGAGCTACCAATGTCCCATTGTAACCATATCGACAGATGCATTACTTGCTTCACATTTCCATCAACGTAGCTGGGAAGATCTGCAGCCCATGCAATTATTTCCTCAGAGCAGAAAATCTCCGGCTCATCCCAAAGTTTACATGTCCTCCTTTTCGTTTTCATTTAATATTGAAGAACTCTTCCTGCGCAGTACACGGCGTATGCGTAATGTTTACTTGAGGCAGTCAGGCGATGAAGCAATGCCATTGCCACTTTTGATTAATTTTTAAATAAACGCGTTGCCATCAAAATGGGCAAATGGACAAGGAGGCATAAAGGACATACGTCCGTGGGAAGCTGCAGGGCGAGATTCTGGTTTCAGTTTCTGCCGTCGAGTTGCCGCGCATAAATTATGAAAATTAATAAAAATTCATTCGGTGTGTGAGAGGGCACTCCTTCGGACACTTCTTGCCGTCAAAAGTGTTGATGAGCAGTTGACATGGCAATGGAGGAAAATCAAAGGACAATTTGCAGATTGCACAATTAAAGGGAAATTGCGAGTGTAGGTGGCACATTTTCAGTGAGAGATTCCAGTATCGCTAGGATGGTGACTTCAGAATAAAGGCTATTCAATATCAAAGTTGGCTGTCGATTCATTTTAATCGGTTTATTAATCAAAGCCAAAACTAATACAAACCCTAAAGAAAATATTAATTTCCATGATTTATCGCATTGAATTAAGACATGATTAGTTCCTTTTGTATTTATTTATAATAAACCAATAACTAATAAGAAAGGTATCAATTTCACAAAAAAAAGAGCAGTTTAAGGAAAGGGAAATGTTGAACTCATTAAGCAGCAATTCCGATTACTTATCCTCACAAGGAGGAGGGTAACTGCAGTCACGTCTGCGCTAGAACATTTTCACAATGATTGCACTTTTTGGCATTTTAACATTTGAAATTGCATTTTCTTGCAGGTATTTCATCCGCCACGCAATATCCGAGACGAGAAGCCCTTTGAGTTCAGCATAAGATATAAATTTATAAGCCAGTCGGATGCAGTTGTGAGGTAAGTTGCTGCCCGGAAATACCCGGCAAACTGACAAATATCTGTGCAGCTTGAAATGTATTCAATTGATATTGGTTCGATGCATTTTCCATCCTCCCCGATCCGATTCCCCTCCCTCCATAGGTAATGTCATCAGTCTGTTTCAGCTTTTCCCGCTCCGGCTTTCATCTTTCCGTAGATGTTTCTATTCGAAGATACTTGCTTAAAACTTAAATCGTTCTACCTGAAAGAACAATGCCACTTGGTTGCCTTGGGGATGGCTTTTCGGGAAAATTGAGGAGGTGGAGCAGGGAGGCTGCCTACATAAAACATGAGCTTTGTGAACCGACAGTCTAGTTGTTCAATAGAATGGCTGTAGTATCCTCACCTCGTGTATTTGTCGAGCAATCCATTTGTGCGCCGTGCTTAGGCATGTGTCAAATTTGTCCCTGTATTGCAGGTCCTTTTCACTTACTTTTCCATGTGTCGCGCTTTTTGTTTGCGCGTGTAAAATTAGAGGGCGATCCAAATGGAAATGGAAATGTATTTTTATGGCTCAATGGGTTTCGCACAATTTTTCATTTTCAAAACAGTTCAAAATAAAGTTATTTGTTTAAGATTTACAGTATTGTTTGTATAATGAGGCAGGAAGATTATTTGTATTATTTATAAATTTAAGGTAATAGCTAAATTTGGAGAGAAGTTTCTTAGGCAAAGTAGACAAAAATTGTATTATTATTATTTCTATTTAAATTTAGTGGACCATTTCAGGACATAATATTACCCAAAGCATCAAAATGTATTTATACATTTTAGTCCCTGCTTTTTGTTCGAGTGCGAGAATCGTGTGCACACCATTAGCAATCTAAACAATGATGGGAGTCCAGGTTTGACCATCTATACAAAAGTGTGGGATTCGAGGGGGTGATGCGTGTGGAATACCCGTAGCACATTTTATGCAAATTTCAAGTCTTTGTGCTTTTGTTCCTGCCTTAAATACCATTCAAGGGATACACCCACGAACCAAATGCGAGGCACGAGCTCACACGACACTTAGTGAACTGGGAACTGGGAACTGACCCCTCGGCCTCATTTCCACCTTTTCCAGATACGGACTGCCCGATAAGCCGCTCGAATTGGGCCGTGTGACACCTGGCACCTATTGTACCAGGCAATTCGATGAATGCTATCGTAACAAGTGTCGCCTGCAAAGTCCGAATTATCCCGGAATGTATCCGAGGAACGTAACCTGCTACTGGACGATCCGGCAGAAGGAGGTCCCGACCAGCAAGCACGCCATGATTGCCGTCAGCCAGGAGAATCAGCACAAGGCCTTGGTGAAGCGGTAAGTGCGGGGACTGGATTGCACGGGGGCTCTGCGAGTGTTCAAGAATGCCCTGCAGAATGTCGAATGACTACCGAAAATTCTATGCCACCTGCACTGGAGAGCATTAAATAAGCATTACCATGTCGTCCCCCGAAAAACCCAACCCCCAGACATGCGATGCGATACACAACATATCCCGGCCAGCCGGGCGAAGTGCATCTGTGTCTGCATCTGCATTTGTATGACAAATTTCAATTTAGCAAATTGCTAAGCGAAGTTTTAGTTTGCAGTTTGTTAACTGACGGCACAAATGAAACTGTTTCGTGTCCGAGGATGTTGAGCATTTGTTGTCCAAAAAGTTTTGTATATTCCAATTAAATGCAGCAAACAAAAATGCAGATAATTTAAGAAACAGTCTGAGGAATCTTTACAATATTGCAATGAAAGTGATAACATTTTTTAATTGTACATATTTAGGCAAGCATTACCTGATGAGTTTTTGAAGCTTATTTGCATTTAATAGTTGTTAGTTTTTTATCAATACATATTTATTGATTTATTTAAAACAAAATGATTCTTAAATTTATTTCAACAGCTCAATTGCCAGCTTTAACAAAACTTCGCGGTCCATTCGAGCCTGGTCGGACTGTACAGGTGAGAGGGATCACCTGATTTTCTATGACGGCAGTTCCACCAACGATCCTGTTTTGGCCAAATACTGCGGCGGAGATTGGCTGCCACGCGTCGTTTCACGGTGAGTCCAAAAAACTGCAAATTCCCTAGGATATCATGATTTTATGCTTCTTTAATATAAATAATGGATAAAGGAAAAGGACAGAGGGACAAGGAAGAAGTTAGGCAGGCGGAGGACATTTATTTAACGCCATTTCTCTCTTTTATGAAAAAGTTAAATACGAGCTCGGCAAGGCTCATAATACATTTACAAGAAAAGATAGACAGACATTTTTAATGAGCATGGGTGTGTGGCAGTGTGCCACAGTGCATTGGTGTGAGTAAGGTGCCCACAGTGATGAGAAAAAGTGAATTTCAAAAGGTAACCCATAGCCTAACATTACTGATATTATATTATGTTTTAAATAGTATCTTAAATATAATTTAAATAAGGTATTTTACAGCCTTAATTATCCCCTGTGAAGAACCATGGTTCGAGCCTCCACTAAGCATCTGGTGCGAGTGCAACAAAGATAGAAATAGAATTTGTTTATTGCGAAAATACTCATATATTTTTAATAAGTAAAAGGAGATTACGGTTCTCGACTCCCAAAAAAAGGCATAGCTAGTTAATGTGTTGCTTTAGAATACAAAACTTTAATATTCATTTTCTTAATTTTAAAAACTAAAAAATAGCATTGCATTCCCCTCTCAATTTCTTATTTCTTCTAGTTTTTTATTTGGTAATTTAAAATGTTCCTTCGTGATTTATTTATCGCGATTTTACACTGTGATGGAGATGAAGAAGGCTCTTTTTTCCCATCACTGGTATTTTCATGCGACTGCCACTGTGTTTGTGTGTGTGTGTGAGGCAGGACCGCAGCCTAGTGCACTGCACTGCAGTTTTGGCCCGGGGCGCATGTGTTCCAATTCAGTTACACATAGATACAAAGCCACACATAGATACACACATGGATACATGGGGCCTGTCCGCGTGTTGGTGCGCCTTACAATTGTGCGCAATGCTTAAGCAAAACCGGAAATTGGGTTGCTCGGCAGACAGAAGCCGGAGGACGGACGCTGAAAAGTGAAAAAGAGATACGAAGCTCGAGATAGAGATACATTCACACATGAAAACGCATTATGGTGCAGGAAGCATCCTGGCGCACACATAGAAACAAATAGATTTATGCTGCCGCTTGAAACTTTGCTTGTGCCATCTATTGAAAACATTTTGATGCATGTGATTTATGCAATGGCAAAATTTTGCTCATTAGTTGCCAAGTTGCCAGCACTTAGATCATCAGCCATAAATTCTTAAAGACGCCCAGCCTTTCAAAAGCAATTTCAACTTTTCAAACTCCAGCACACACAGACATTGATATGTACCTGCTGCGGTTTGCAGCTTGGGTTTAAGCAATTAAAATGCAACTACTAATCGAGGTACTTTCAGCTTAGTTTTCAGAACTAGTAAGCATAAGTACGATCCGGTTGAACCTTGTGTTACCTTTGTGGGTTGGGGGAATTATTTAGAAATCTCTGAAAGCACTTATGAAATATGAAAATATTTAGAGAAATAAGAATGTTATGAATGTAAAATGTAAACCAAATTTTCTCTTTATTATTATTATTATTATTATTATTTATTTGAAGATTTCTTCCTAACGCTACAAGTACAAGATACTTATAAGTTAAGGGGGTCTTCTCATTGGGCAACTTTTTTTTTTCGATTTTTTTTTTTTTGCATTTATTTATAGCTTGGGATGGTGTGTATATGTCCCCAAAAGGATTTTTAGAAATACGAAATACTTTAGAAGATACAGCCTTTTTTGTGAAGCAAGATCTATGCAAAATGAGCTTTTTTCAAACTTCAAACGCGTTTATCTCGAAACCACGTTTTTCGAACTGGCGGCCATGATATCTCCAGTTCAACTGAACCGATTTTCATGAAACAAAGTGGAATCGACGCAGAATTGTCACCATTTTCGGCTGACGGAACAGATTTTTTTTAAAATTTTTTTTTCTATTTTTTTTTACACTAAACTACAAAAAAAACACCCGAAATCGAAATTTTTTTTTGAATGGCCGCCATTTTGTTTAAAAAAATTTAAAAAAAAATCTGTTCCGTCAGCCGAAAATGACATCTATTCTGATTATAACACCGTTTTTATTTTTCATTTCGGACGCTCTGGAGACCCTGAATCGTGGCCGCCAGGACGACACCTTTTTTTCGACCACCAAGTTTGAAGTCTCATTACTCTTTGAACAACCCTCGTATCGAGGCAAGAACAACTTTTTTAGTTACTTTGAACATTTTTGAATACAATAAATAAAAAAAGTTTTCAATTATTCTTTGCGTTTTCAAATAAGAATTTTTTTAAAAAGGGTCCAAAAAACGGCTTTTGAATGAGAAGACCCCCTTAATGCGCTAGTGATTCTTTCCCATATCTATTTAGCTCTTTAAATTATAATTTTAAAAGGTATATTTAAAGGAAATTTTACTGCATCTTTGTCTCCTACTAGGTTACCTTGAATAATTTAGAGACCATAAAACAAATAACACATTTATCACTTGAAATCCGGAACCACCAGTTCATTTGGTTTAGATTGTCATAAATTCTTGTGGGTCTGCTCTCGAAGCACTTAAAAACACTTCCAGGACATCCCCGAAACGCTCGAATGCAGCTCTCAGCCACGCCCACGCCTTTACATGGCGTTCAAGTGGCCCAGTCGCCCCCCAGTACGTCCCTTCACCTCCTTAGGCACCTTGGCTCCCCTTGCCGACGCCTTTGGCCATTTATCTAGCACTCAAGAATTTGTTTTTGTTGTCTTTTGGTCTTCGGTCAGGGCCAAAAGTTTGCTCCCCCGCAGGGTCTCCTTTGTCCGCTCGGTGACCTCTTGAGACAGGCACATACACTTTGATTTTTTTAGCGGTATTCCTTTCTGCGGGCTATGCAGCTGTACAAATATCTAAGAAGCGAAAATTTCTTGATTTGTAAATAAAAATTAGAAAAATTTTATTCCTTTGAATATAACTACATTGGGAAGAAAGCTATTCTAATTTATAGTAATCCTGTCTAGAGCAAACTGAAAACATTTTCAAAATTTACACTAGATGTTAAGCAAACCCAAGATTTGCCTGAATTATTTATTTACTAGCTTCTAGCAAATTATAACTGGTCGTTTATAAAGATGGCGCAATGACGATGATCGCTCAGCCTTGTGGCCCTTAATCTCTTAATGACTTGCACTCTCGCATTTATTGACATCCTTTCCGTATCCTTGGGAAAATCTTATAAGCGTGCACAGGTGCCGGAGCAGGGGAGGGTGTAGACGCAGAGGGGGCACATCAAATATGCATAGAGCGTAATATGCACATGAAGGAGAAAACGAACGAAGCAAAAGGCGCTCAGAGAACTTGATGGAAAAGTGGGTGCCCAAGAAAAACGGCATTAAGAAGCCAGGACCGTAGCTCGTGCACCGCTTTCCTCAACTCCCCACCGATGCCTCAGCTGCCACAGTTTTTTCTCTTCTACACTGAAACCCATAAAGTATTCCTTAAGTCTTTAACTCCAAATTAAGAAGAACGAAAAAGGAGGTACAGTGTTGGGGAGTATATGGGTTATATCGTTATCATTAGTTTTATTTTCAGTTCATAGACCAGAGGCCATGATAATGATAAAATCCTATTAAAAATCGTAATCTTTGCATTCAAAAGACAATAATTTGTTTTCTGTACACTCTGTCAACGTCGTATGCGACATGAGCATACGAATTATAAATGCACACATACACGTGACGGGGGAAAGTCCTTTCCCTCCGTCGGCAAACATCTCTCGCTTTACTTCTCACCTCAGACATGGTTCCCTGACTTTCGGGAAAATCGCATATGCACACAGGGGCCATGGAAAACGAGAGGGAGAGCGGGAGAAGGTGTGGAAAAAGCTACACGAAAATTATTAATTTCCCAGCGCAACTTAAAATTGCAACAAGCTAAAGGTGCCGTGAGACGTTCGTATTTTATTGGTTTCTTTTTCTCTCGTTCCGTACCGTATTTTTTTTGGGGCGGGGGTAGGAGGAAGAAAAAGCTGGAAAAGTTGGGTTTTCCCCTCAGTTGCAGCAGCGGCAGCAGCAGCTGTTGCTTTTCCTCTAAGTAAATGTTAATTTTTGTTAGCCAAGAAAAGAAAAACTCAAAGCGATAACTTTTTAAATTGCATATTAATTTTTTATGGCAAGACTCAACGCCCAACCTCCGCTTTCCGCTCCACCTGTTTTTTGTGGTTGCACTTTGCGGATTAGGTTGCCTGAAAATCGGGGCACTAAGGGGGGATGTTTATTTTCGGTTAATACTAATTTTCGGAAGGGGATTTTGTCTGGAAAAGGCTTTGCTTTAAAAACTTAATGCCTCTTAGTATATGTACTTGAAAAGATCTATATGTATTTATCTGTAGTTATATACGTATAAATTAAATAATAAATCAAAAGTTTGATAAAAATCTTAAGAGAATGTGAGTAGATCAAGGCTATGCATTGATATATAGGTCTTATCTTAATTTTTTTAATATTTATTTTGTACCTTAGATGTACTCTTCCGATTAAAATTTAACATCATATTGAATTCTATACTCCTCTTAGAACTAATAAATTATAAAAATAAGAAAATTCGTATAATTTTACATACAATTACACATACAACTGGGAAATCCCACTAGTCAAGTCAGCCTCTTGATGCGACCTCCAAAATTGCGTAGAGTTAACTTAGGCTTTGGTCCTTTAATCACTTGAAATTCTTGTGCACTCCAGAGCTCACCGCCAAACACCGGGCATGCAGAAGCAGCAGAAGCCCCCGGGGAAACCGCAAGTCCGTAGAGTTTCGGGGGTGGTGGTTGCGCTGCCATTTGCGGTCAGGACACTCTGACGCTTCGGAGAAGTTTACGTGTATTGATAACCGACAAAGGAGCGGCTTTTTAGGGCAAAGATGGAGAGGAGAGATGAGCAAAAGACCGGAGATTCAAGGGACGGGGAGCGAGGAGGGCCCTTGGCTATGGATTCGTGTTGATTTTACGACACCCACAAGTGTGCCGCAAGCCATAAAGTAACCAAATGCCACACAAGTACGCACATTCAGAAACTGGAAATCACTAGGAAAAAATGCTTGTTGGGTTTAAATTGATTTTAGATCTATAGAAAATTGTGGGATTCATTTAAAATTTTTAAATACAAAAATAGTTTTTAAATAGCAAAGATTCTGATGGTCAAATATTAAAGACAGTTTCGAATTTAGCAAATTATATTTTTTAAAGTGCATCCACACACAGGAAAACAGAAGAAAAGGGCATTCCCGAGGAACCAGTACATTCCCCTGGTAAATTCCTTGGTCCCGGAGTGGGGACGAGGCCCTGGCATTTGTGTCGCTTTATTAAAAATTAATTTACTTTTCATTTGCAGTTTATTGCACTTGGCACTGACACAATCATTGCAGCTGCTCCACAAGTCCCGCCGGCCTCTTCCCCACCCCTCTAATCCAGCGCCCCCGTCTAAGAGCACGTTTCGCTTAAATAATAAGGAGCTTTGCCACTCACACTTGGCCACACTTACACGTATTAAAAAGCCATTTTGTTGGCCATGTTTGATGGCTTTTGACATCGTCTGCGTGTGCGTTTCTTTTTAAGTGTTCAAAGTCCTGGCTTAGGTGGCTGCGTGTACATGCGAGGGCGCTCAGTTTCTGTTTTATTTTATGCCAAGCCATATTACGCATACGCCGTGTGCGGCCACCTCTTGCCCGGGCAATAAAAATTCAATTTGATGTATAAATTGAAAACTTTGAACGTAATTTATATGGTCATGAATGCGGCATGCTAACCAAATGGAAAATGTAGGGGATAGCTGGAAATGGAATTTGATTTCCTTACTCTGTGAAGATATTGCCAGGCGAAAGATATTTAAAGTTAAAGTTCATCTTCTGTGGCATTAAATACCACTAAAATTATCCGTTTTGTAAGATTTCCTGAAATATAAATATATATTCTAATCAAATTCAGCTTCAAAATAAAGTGAGATATTGATTTGTCGACAAATTTCACTCATGGCTGCCAGATAATTTATACTGAATATTTAAAATGTTATTTCAGTCTGGAAACTTTTATTTAAACTAAATTTGAGTCGAAATGATAACTTGAATGAAAATTGTCCTCTTGGCCGTTAGTATCCAAAGCTTTATGAGCACTCGATGTCAGTTCCATGGCTGCTGATTCACCTCTTGCACCCACACACACCGCCACCCTGGAGCTCGGTTCCGCCCACCATAAAATCTGGCGACGCGCCGTCTACAAATACAGACAGAGAAAAAGGAGCGGGAGAGCCATGCTTTTGGTGCAACACCCACAGGCAACTGACATTTCATAATTTTTGGCCAGAAAAATCAAAAGACAAACGGGCAAATTTTTGGCCCGACTCGACTCAGTTACTTTGTTATGCCAAAAAATTTGCCTAAAACTTTTCGTACACCTCCCCGGCAGCTCCCAACCAGCCGGCAGCCGGCAGCCGGCAGCCTTACCAACGAGACAATGGCGAAAAAAGTTAATTTGGCAGCAAAAATGCAAACAACCAGACGGAGCGGACACTTTAAATAGCCCAAAACAAAGCGGGCGAGCACTGCGTCATACTTTTGGGCGTAGCTCGTCGGCATTTTGGCAAAACGCCCACCACGCCGCTTGTTTGTGCTATTTCGTGGGCTTTTCGGATTGTTTCGGGCTGTTTTGGGTTTGTTGCCTCTTTCGTGGGCAAAAAGTTTACGACTTTTCTTGTTTGCCGAATTGTGCAAATTAAATTTATGTGAGCTGAAGTTTTTTCACGCCTCTAATTGGAGTGCCAGTGGCCTGGTTATGGACAAACATCACGAGCATCGCCAGCCGACCATACAACGGGGCGTATGCGCGATATTGGGCAAAACTTCTGAGATTTCTTTGAAAGAAACTTCTCAAGCGCGTGGAGGCGAAAGCCACTTATTGGCAAGTTTTATAGAATTTAAAACAAATAAGTAAGCCAATATTGTGTTGAATTTAATAATTCTGTGAAGCAAGATAAAGCTGTAAAGGGGTATATAGCTAGCTTGTTAAATAGATTTTAAGCAAAACCCTTTTAAAATAAGAAGTTTTCTTATATAAAATATTATAAACTAAAATTATACATACGTATGTACATATGTATGTAAAGACGGGTAACACTGGACAGCGGCAGGCACACACTTGCAGTGTTACCAGGGCCTGCAGAACCATAAAACGACACAGAACGAAGAGCGAGATGAGATGGCTGCGTAGAAGGAAGTTAGTCACTCTAAGTCGTCGATCGTGAGAAGTTGCAGCAAAAAGTTGAAAAATAGTCTTCGCAGTATCATTTTCTAATTATTGTGTAATATAATATAACTAAACCTATTATTAATAATAAATACTCTTCATGTATATTATAATTTATATATTGTTTTATCGGTATTTATCACAATGTTTAATTTTAATTGATTTTTTTTCTTTTCAGTGGCCCTGAAATGCTGGTGGCTTTCCACTCCAGTCCATTTTCCGCGCCCTTGCAGCAGGGTATCCCGAATCGGGGCTTCGAACTGGACGTGGACATACTATTTACCGACTCCGATTCGTTTGACTTCGCCCAAGGTACCAAGAACCTCTGTGAATTTCACGTAAATGCCTCGAATCCAGGTAAGGAAAATCAGAAATCAATATGAATATCAATAATTTATGACGGACGGAGATCAGGTGAAAAACTTTCATATTTTTCTCGGAACCATTAACAGCCGAGTCGATCTAGTGTATTTATCAATTTATAATTTAAGATTAAAGCTAGATGTTTGGAGGGGGGCGGCTTTAACCTGAAATGCACTCGATAAGAAGACACGTAGACTTTCGGGTTTTTACGCGACGTGCGTCGGGATGTTTATTCATTTTTAGGTAAATCGGTACCGTACTTATCTTGGCAAAAGCGCTTGAATATCCGGCTTGAAGGACCAATATGTCGATGTCGGGGCCTGGCAAGTGGTGTCCCAAATTTCTCAGAAAATAGAAAGAGTGTATGATAATTGTTGAGTTTAGAGCGATCCGTCTTCCTTCTTCGGGGTTTTATTTGGAGAGAGTTATTGTACAAAAATATTGCGACTTCGTGCTCGCTTCGGAACCGGATAATAGGCACATTTTTGCACATAGTGATGCCCCCCTGGAGATATTGCTGACTCCCCTTTATTCAGCATGAACCCTGGATTTCTATATATTTAACACAGAACAAGGTGTATTCAGTATAGGAAATGTTGTCCTTATAAATGGTTCTTGGCTGAGCCCGTTGGCTGCTTAATTGCATAAAAATAAATTAACGAAAGGCTCTGCTTTCATGGAAAGTAATCGGAGTCGTTAGACGGGGAGTCGCTGAGGTGTTTGTAATTTAATGGGAGTGAGCGAAACTATATAGCCCCGATTAGCCTTTGGCCTTAATCTAAGCAGACTAAATGGGATTTTAATTAAATTCAAGGCCAGACGAAGAAACTCCCACGGAAACCAAAGCCCTAAGCCGACCAAATGGCTTTTTAGGCTTGACTTGATGTGGCCGCCAAAAAGAAAGTATGAGTAATTGCTTGGGCAGCAGCTAATGTTCTGAACAAGTAAGAGAAAGCCGGGAAAGTTGAGCGAATACCCATTGGGAATGCAAAATCATTGGATTGGATCTTAGCTCTGTTTAATAAAGAATTCGACTTTATTCATTTAAACTCTTGTGAAACTATAAATAAATCTTTATGAGAAAGCAATGCACTAAAAGAATATATTAGAATTTTCTGAATTATAGTTCACATTTTATCTTTTCCCTGACTTTAACTTTGATTGAGTGGAAAATATTTTCTGCTACAACATGGAGCTCCCAGCTCTCCCATTAATTAGTATACCTCGCTGGGTAAATATTCTGAAGATGTGCTCTATTCTAAGCTTGTTTTTCCCCTGGCCTTTGCCCTTCCCTGAGCTTTTCCGCCCAGCTTCTGCTTCTAAGCTTTCCTTTTGGCTTGGCTTCTCCTGAAATTTCACGCTCTCCGGCCGGCAGTCAGCTGCATTTAATTGAAAAATTATTAAATGAAATTTCAGACTGCCCTGCTGCCCCTCTGAAGCCCCGGAACCCTGAAACCCCGGAACTCTGGAACTCCGGAGCCTCTCCATCAATTTAGTGCAGCGGCCGCAGCGGTGGCCAAAAGTAGGCAACGCCATGGCAGCCGCTAATGTTCATTAATTTGCACTTAATAACTTTTGAGTAGATTTTATTTTGCTGGCCAAACGAAAAACGCTGGGCATTTATTATTTTCTCCAACGCTTCTTTATCTTGCCAAAAAAAACAAAGCGGAAAATTGAGAGAATTCCCATTTGAAATTAGTTTTTTGCTTGAGCTGGCAATTTCGGCGCATAAAAGTATAGAGAAAATCAACTCATTCCCTGTTTATTTTCCCTATTTCTTATTCCTTACACAACGGCTTTTCTATGCCTTGTTGTTGTGCTCATTAACTTTCCAGCTTATACATATACAAATTCTGGTGTTGTTGTTTCTGTTTGTGCTTAATTTTTGACCGTTTAACTTTTGTTAAATGCCTTTCATCCTCACTCCCCGGCCCTTCTCGCTTAGGTTTGGCTTAATGCGTTGGCTGGGAAATTGAACAGATGTGTCTGCTATCATTAGGCGTGATTGTTGGGGAGGAGAGGCCCAATAGGTGGCTATATCTATTAAAGTTATAATCCATTCGAAGGGGGCTGAGCTTAAACAGGGATATTTTAACACTCTAAACGAAAACTTAAAGCTTATAACTTATATTATTTTCACTAGGCGGTTGTTATTTCTCCTCAATTTATCAACTTAAACCCAATAAAGACATTAGTTGGCTTCTGACAGCGATAAATACTAATCAAAAATAACAAATCGCATTCCATTAATGCAAACCGTGGCAGAAATATCAAAAATGCCACGAATTCCTTCAATTCGAGCGAAAATATTGCGGCGCGTCCAATTAGAGCAGCGTATGAAACATTTATTTATAATGGCCAAGTAGCCACACAAGGCGATTTTCCGGCTGTTCGGGGTCGGAAGGAGTTGGCTAACATTTCGGGCAAACAAAGCGCCATAATTGTTTTGTTATCGACGCACACAACACGCCCCCCAGGAGGGGCAGCAGCATTGCGGGCTACAAATAAATTATTAGGGGGGCAGCATGATTTTAATTAAAGTTTTAACGAAAACCAAATATTTATCGTTTCATTTTGCTTTCATTTGTTCGCTGGGTGTGTGGTTTCATACCCAGCACCGCTCCCGTTCTTTTTTGCCACGCAAACAACGCCGTCATTAAGCATGTGGATGCTAAATTCAATATGCATTTGCATTTGAATATTTTAAAATATCAACAGGGGAACGGGGACAATTTATTATGTGCGGCAAAGGTCAGGGTAATGTTATACAGAGTTCGCAGTGCTTTATTTAGAGTCCTTCGGCGGTAATCAATGCAAAGAATGGCCCGGACCACGCGGCGTATGATTAATAAACTGCAGATGCAAATGCTTTGTGCGTCGAAGTTGGCTCCCTTCGCTGATTGCGCAACAAAATCTGTTGCATATTTAATTCGGTTTGATTTGGCCATAACTTTTCCAATTAAGTTTAATTAAATGTGCAACTTTTCGCCCAGTCGGCGAAGAAAACCCTCTGGCTTTGCGGTGTGTGTGTGTGTGTGTCGATTTTAATTAAAATTTGTTTGCTTGTTTTACCCGCTGACAGCCCCAGTAAACTCAGCGTTTAAAACATGTTTCATCAATCGCACTCTCGCTCTTCTGACATTAACCAAAAGGTCTTTCCTGGAACTGATTGTCATAGCTGCCAATTGCCGAACCAATTATATCCTAAAAGGATTTATCCTTCAGCCAAGCGTTATCCGACCCAATCAATATCCGATTCCATCTGGATTCCCTAATTAGTGCTAATCAACTTCAGCCAAACATTCCACATGCAATAACCGTCCACAAATGCGGAAAAACTTCATCGTGCGAACATTTGACATGTCCATTGGCATGGCAACTTGTTCCCTCACATCCACAGAATGATAATTCCGCCAATCCGAGTCGGGTAATAAATTACCCCGTATGAATCGCTGTAAGATTCGCCTCAGATCAATTATGCCAACTAAGCAGGCACAAGCGGAATACACAAACGCCTATGGAAACCTGGGGCAAAATGGATGAGAGCGGGAGATGCTGGATGGAAATTTATGGCTTTGCAAACGGAGAAATATTTCCGGTTTGTGACTTGGCCTCTACAAGCAAGGACATTACATAAAGAGGCAACAAAAATGTTTAAAATATGTTTTTGATAATTATTTATTAATATAAAAATATATAAAAGTAAAAGTTATACAAAATTAATAATAATTTTCTCTAATCCTTGAGATTATGCTAGAAGCATATATAAAATATAAAAGGATGATGTTTCAGACTCTTCAGTTCCTCACTTTATTTAACTATTACTTTTTAAGAATTACAAAAAAAATGTTGTTAAAATTTCCTACTCGCATAGATACAAATTATTCATAGAAAATTTTTTTAAAGAAAAATACCATTTAATTCTAAAATAGTTATCTAAAATAATTTATTTAAAAACCAATGCTACAGTCTTATTGTCTTCAATTGCCAATTCAGCAGAAGTTGTTTTGACGTTTTCTTTTTCATTGATTTACGGATTAAATGCTGATGACATAGCTGGGGGAAAACCACCAGTTTGCCTCACTGAATCAGAAGTTTCTTGTGGAGCCGCAGCCAAGTACCTCAAACCATTTTTACAACGCCGTTTCTCAGCTGTTATTACACCTAAAGTTTTCGTAAAGTTTTTCTGCAAACTTTAAACAAAACCTTTCAATTCTGTTGCCTTCTTTCTCTCTTTTTTCTTTCGGCACGTTTGCGGAAATTTTCCTTTTTAATTTCATAAAGTCAACAGACGAAAACAAAGAAAGGGAAAGCAAACAATGAAGCGTGGAGAACGGGCCAAGACAATGGAATTTATATTTAATATGTTGGCGGGTGGAGCTTCGTCTCGGTGTAATATGTAAAATTATGGGTATCCTGAGAAATTATGAGAGGAGGAAAGGTTAATGTAAAGCGGCTTTTATTAATTGAAGAAAAGGGATTTGCAGCAAGCGGTGTTATTAAAATAAGTGATTTCATTTTTATTTATAGTAAAGAGTTATTGTTTTTCATTTATCTCTAGATACCTTACCTTAAACCTTGCTTTTAGATATTTCTTTGTATATTTATATCTTTGATGGTACTTTAAGATGTTAAATTATTTTACTTATTTTCTCAGTCCTTCTTAATTATCACAACTATTGTAAAACTGTTCATAAAATATTCATAAACTAAAAACATTGGTAAACAGAATAAATTCCTGCAGTAAATCCAATCAATTTCACAGTCAAATTGGGTTGATTTTACTGTAAACTAAAGTAGAACGACTTAACGTGTTACGTCTAATGACTGCTCTACAGTAAGTCCAACCACGATTCTGCAGTAAAAAGGCCCCAACCTACGAAAATGGTGTAATACAGTATATTACACACAACAACAAAACACATTTTACTGTACATTACTGTAATTCAACCCACAAAAATAGTATACTCAACCTACGCAATTTTATTCTATAT